AGTACCTCTCCCACACCCGCTAACGTTGAACTCGACTTGTCACAGCCTCGCACCAGAACTCAAGAAATTTCTTCTCGATTTCCGAAATTTGAAAACCTTTTTATTTGCTAATATTCGTTGAAAGAAAGAAATTAAAAAAGACCCAGTTTGTTCCTTTGATAAATTTGAATAACGCAATGAGAAGATGAAGATGATCAGAACTATGTGATAATACTAAACCAATACACTTTGAACAGTCGAATTATATATTTACTTTGTAAGGTATATATATATATATCAGATGGGTTTTGTGGATATTATAGTAATTTCAATGGTTAAGATCATGAGTCAGTTGAGGCTAGACCACCATGGAAAACCTGGGAGCACTAGATGGTCTAGTAGTTAAGTGCTCGCGCGCGAAACCAGTAGGTTCTGGGTTCGAATCTCGCAGATGGCGAGGTCGTGGATGCGCACTGCTGAGGAGTCCCACAATATATATATATATATATATATATATATATATATATATTTGTAAAATAAAAATCGACTACACAAAGTGAAAGATAAGAAAAAAACGAAAGAAAATCAGGAAGAGAATATGAATTATATCACTGAATAATAAATCAATATTAACAAGATAGGTTTATTGTAAGCACAAAATGTTTTTGAACACAAAAATTGAAAGTGTTGAACTTCTGTATGGCTAAGGCTTAGAAACATCTAAACATTCGATCTGAATAATTTTTTATACAGGATTACAAAGGCTGAGTTAAGACCAATTTTATAACCTATTTCAACTTTACATTTAGCAGTGGAAAAAGATGAATGTTTTCATCAGCTTTTATTGGATCATTTGATTTTGTAAACATATCAACAACAACATAAGAATGATCTAAAATGAATTATTTGTGATACATTTAAAAAAACCCAATTTGTTAAATATTCAAACATCAAGAAGTTTTAAATTCTGCTCACGATTGTTAATTGACAATAGAAATAAATAAGATACTAGCCCCCAAAAGCCCTGGTACGGCCGAGAGTGGGGAGAGTCCGCTCTCCCTTTCAAAATGCTCTCACATGGCCACGCGTATATAGCCTCTGCCAGGGAAGGCCTACTCACTGCTGCCTCGTGGCGGGGGTGCTTTTTACGAAATTGAGAGGACGAAAAGTGAATGTCCGGCGCTTTAACCGGATTCCAAATCAATGGTGCACATGGGCTCCAGTATCCTGAAGGAACAAATGGAGTATGAACCAATTCCTTGGTCACCGGCTACCATGGGAATGCATCTCCTCACGTTGCTCCACTGCCTTGTGGATCAGACCTTCAGGTCGAAGGCTCGGGGAGTGGCCCCCTAAGAAAAGCACCTGCTTCGGTTTGTGCACTCGGGCAGTATCACAGCCCTCACACACATCGAATGAGATTTGTGTGGCGTATATGTATTTGTTACCTCCTTGTACCAATATCTGTGTTAAAATAAAATATTAAAAAATTCTGAATATATATATATATATATATATATCAATGGTTAAGATCATGAGTCAGTTGAAGCTAGACCACCATGGAAAACCTGGAAGCACTGGACGGCCGTTTCGTCCTATTGTGGGACTCCTCAGCGGTGCGCATCCACCACCTCGCCATCTGCGATATATATATATATATATATATAAAGAATTCTCAACTGATATCTATCTATTAAAATCTATAAATCAACATATAGGCTCAGTTACTAAGTACAGATTGAAGCAACTTGGTTTTTACAACTGTAGACACATCCAAATAATAAAATTTTTAATCGGTGTTTAGATTCTGATTCATTCTACGATTTTCTTCATTTAACCTTCAATTAAACAAATGTTTATCAGATTGTTTCACTATGATTCATGGTTTGAATTTCTACTTTTTTTTCCCAAAAAAACTGATTTAATTGAGAGATAATTTAAACAAGTTAATGAATCAACTTAATTGTGTAATTTTTTTGAAATGTGAAGCCTTGAAATTCTTATAATAAATTTAAACAAAATCTGGGTAAAGGTTATTATCATCAGAATTTCATTTCATATTTCATCTGTATTAATTTATGTTATCAATGTACAACGTCCTTTACAATTAGTTAATTTAGTTTTTTAAAAAGAGTAATTTAGTCATTGACATGAATAAATAGTTAAAACGTTTTGCAAACACAAAGAAATATGTTTTTGAAAGAGTTCTGTAGGATGATATGTCTTTGACTTCCAATTGATTAGGGTCAGCATCATGATATTGAAAAAAACCTAGCAATGGATTGAACGGTCACAAGAACTCCACAGATCAGTGAGGTCAGGTAAGAGATCCTGAATTTTACAACTTACATCAGAGAATTTCTAAGCAGTTACATAAAGTTGAATATACATTAACGGAAAGTGGAGGCTTACATTTTCAATGACCCATCTTAGCTACTGATACTCGGTAGCAGTAGTATGATAATCAATTACAAGCGAAAACAACTTCCGCTCGACAAACGACTGGATTTGAAGTTATTCGCTGATTATCAAAAGATTATCGTGAAATACCTAAAATTTAAGGCTCTTTAGGCTTGTACTCCGGAAATGATTTGTAATCTCTTTCCTGAAGTTATCAGTGATTCAAATTAATATGAAGCATGGAATACTATAGTAACTGGTAAAATGGTTCATACTGATCAGATGAATAGAATTTCATTATCATATTGGAACTTAATGTACCCAGTTTTATGCTAGTCATTACTATAATTTTAGTATGAACGGAAAATTATTCAAATATTCAGATTGAGACATAAACTAGTACTTAATATTCCACCTCAACAACTGTTCTTTGTTTACTTCTAAGTAGTGTGAAATGATACTGTTATCCATGAGACTTAATAGTAATTATAAACTAAGGTTATGTCACATTTACTTCCGTAGTCTAATCAAGTTGTAAACTGTGTTTATTAGGTATTTGAATCACTTCTCGGGTATCAATAGTTTGGATACATGTATAAAGTTCTTTCTTATACTTTTTATGTCTTTAAACTGGGTAATTGTTTAACACGGATGAACTGTCTTAGGCTCAAAAAGTTTGATGAATTTGAGCCAACCAGTAGACGATTTAAAGATCTTATCGTCTAACTCAAGTCACCATTTAATGCTCTTTGAAACTGACACCCCGAATAACTTGGTTTCAGTAAAAATTCAAATACCCACTATATTAATAAATGATTGCTCAACAAAGTGGCTTCTAGAAAATAAGTAATGATTTAAGGAAAGTAAACATGGCACGACTAATTTTTACATTTGCTAACGCAGTCAGTGTAAGCCAATATCCAGTTAGCTGATGCGCTTATATCAACGAGATTATAATTAGTTTTGTCGATGAATCCCGGTAACACTAAGTCAAAGATAAATTCAGTATTAATTGCCCTCACACATCAAATATATCTAGCTATCTATATATGGTAAAATTATTTTACCGACTTGAGTTTACCATGTTAGTTATCAACTAAAACTATTTCTTTGCAATTTTTCCCAAGCGAACTGGTATTTCACTTTCACTAAAATTATCTTTTCATTCATCTGTATTTTTTAATGACCTAATTCCTAAAATTTATACAAGCCCTTCATATCTTCTATAATGGTTAAACATTATATCTTGCCAATTCCAAATCCTAGATGGTTATCACCTGGTCGCTTTATTCTTTTTGTCTATATTCAAATGATCTCAAACTTTTATAACCGCTTTAAATTTACAATTATTACATACTTCATCTTGTCAGTTTCCGAACTCTAAACAAGAATACTGTCTCACACCCTTCCTGTATTTGCTAATTCTATCTCCAATAACCTTACAAAACCCAATTCACAAATATATATACGTATATATAGTTAATGGCGACAATCGTTGTTATCCCGATTCTTTCTGTTATCAGTGTCTATTACTTTGTTATATTATATCCCAGTGTTTTACTTCAAAAAGAATACAGTTGTAAGCAGCTGAAGATAAACTGCGATATAAGGTGAATTTACATTACTGTTCTTTTGGTTTTATTCGAATTCATGAAGGGAACCAATAAAACACGTTATTCAGCTTCATCATTTCTATAATTTCCATTAACACATTTATTGATGTGCCTCATCGGCCTAGAAATTTGACTTGACACACAGATCACCAGTTTAAACTGCGACATAGTATCAATAATCCTTGGACAGAATTTTTGTTTCAATAAACTGGTACATGAGGAATCTATACTTGGTTTCTTACCTAGAAGTAGACATTGACGCATAGACTTAATCAGAAATATGTCAAATAATAATCTCACAAGAAATGGCTTGGACTTCTAAGGAATGAGAAATACACTGGTGGTTCGATTTTTCGAGGGATATATATATACATATATATATATATATATATATATATATATATATATATATATATATATATATATATATATATATATATATATATATATATATATATATATATAAGTATACATACATGCTGACTAGGTTTAGTCAGTAAACTTTCTCCCCACTCAGTCTTGTCACTGGAGTAGCCGGTTGGGCTCATGTGTAGGAACGTTGGATATCAACTAGCGTGTAGGAACTTCGGGTATCAGCTAGCGAATAATCAATTAACGACAAATCACATGGAAGTTATTCAGTAGTTTATAAACTTTAAATAGTGAATGCACTCTATGAATAAAGTTACAGTTTTCCAAGTCAATGATCAAACATAAACCCGTATACTCATTTTTGGTTTGCAACTTTTGTTAGCCCTAGAGATACCAAATGACTTCCCATGGAACAGGGTTCAATTCCGTGACCTAATGAGTAGAACTAGAAACTCTTAGGCATCAAGTCAGTGCTTCTAAATCGTTGTAGCATCAATAGTGAAAAGTGTTTATTTTTGTGAGTGGGGTTTCTTAGCGCTCAGTCGTACCCAGTTTTTATATTTGAATAAAGAAACAGAACAATTATATCATTTTGTTACTATATATATGCAAGAATACTGTACATAAAATAATTGCTTAAGAAGGAAGGTACAACTTTAGATGAGGAATTATATCACACAAAGGCTGTAGAACATCATTTAAAAGAGGTGGTTCTAATATTATAAGAGATCCAAATAAGCTTTTTAAGAGGGAATATGTCTCATTCTCTTCAATTTCACCTTTATTATCCCAAGATAACAGATCGATAAATGCAATCAGTGGAGGAATAATATCTGGTAACAATGTAGGACAAATTAGTGGCCAACAAGATTTTACAAATTCATTGACGCATTGTAACATAAGCACATAGACTGTGTCATATTCGTTTGACTCATTAGTAGTGACAGATTTACCATTCTAGATAAATATGAAAAGGTAAATAAAAGCATAGTTATTTTCTAATGAACAAATAATACGAAAAATCACTATCCTATTTCCAAGTAATACTTATTTAAATCTAGTTTTTAACAGACTAAACAGTAACAGAAACCGGGAAACACCAGATTGCAGTTCAAAATTACTCATTAATGCATACTTTCTACCTGTTAGGTAGATGTAGTCGAATATGTTTATGTTTCAAAGTGAGTACGAGTACAAAAACCAACATCGTTAATTTTAGCTATAAGCAGGAAACAATCCGCTAAACAGACGAATTCATATTATTGTGCTACGACTACTGATTTTTTCGCTGTGATTAAATTTTCCATTGTTACTTTGCTGAAGTGAAGTACACTAATTTGATGGTTACCGACTACCATAGGACTATATCTCTTAACGTTGCTCCACTGCCATGTGGATTAGACCTCTAGGTCAAAGGTTCGGCCAGTGACCTCTTAAGACAACCACCTGCTTCAGTTTGGGTACCCGGACAGTATTCTAGCCCCATACAAATCGAATGACGTGTGATGAACATATATTTGGTGCTTTCTTGTCCCAATGTTTGTGTATTTAAATAAGCAAAAATTCAGGACAATATGACTTGACGAAATATTGACAAGCTGATAAAAAATTAAGAAATTTAATAACTAAACATTATGAAGAACTTACACGTGTTAACTTCCGTGGACCAAGTAAAATACTTGAGGTGACTTTTATGAATTGTCGAGTAAATAATGAGAAAGATGCTTTCAAAATATCGATTAATTTTGACAAATGTTTAAGTAGTACCAATTGACGTTTATATCGTGTTTCCATTAAAAGATCAAATAAGAGTCTTTCAGTAATTTTTTCATACCAATTAGCTGAATTTGTATTACTCAATAAATTAGTTAGAACAAGTAAAGTTGAATAAAGTTTATTAAGTAATATTTCTGATGAATTTGAACTACAAGCAATTCTATGATTTAATAATTGTGAAATAACTGCTTCAGCTCGATTACTTTGACGCCAGTCAGCAATCCTAGCTTTATTTGCTAAATTATATAAAACATTAAGACCAGCTAATTGTATAGATGAACGATAATCCTCTGTTAATCTTAAACCAAATGGTTGTAAAATAGAAATAAATTCATGTTCAGAAATTTCAGGATAATCAAGTTCCATAGATAACCATACAATTGTATCACGTATTAATGGATAATGAGTTAATGAATAATCTTCATCATCATTACTATTAGTTGATTTGTCACATTTTTTTGCTAAATAAACAAGTGATAATTTTAAAATCTCTGAAGCTAAACTAGATGAAGTATTCAATTTTGACAATGGATTAATTTTAATTAATAACAACTGTCTTATTGTTTTTACATTAAATTTTATTAAATATATATTGAAAATATCTTTAATAAGTGAAATCAATTGATTATTACTATGTAATTTACAAGTTGTATAAGAATTACCAAGAATACCGCCTAAAATTATAAAAATATACGCTGATATAGGTTGATTATCATTAATTAATTGTTGATTATTTAAAGTATTCTTAATATTTACACAAATATCAATATACATTTGAATTTGTTCAATCCATAAAGATTCAGAAATTTCAGCTTCATGATGTTCAAGCTTTGATGCTTCAATGATTTCTTTAGATTTCTTTATTAAGACTTGATTGGAAGACATTTATTATAGTTTGAATTTAGTGAAATGAAATAATAATTTCTTATTGATATATTACGTGAATCACAATTTGTAATTTATGATTATTATTATTGTGACTTTTCAATTTTCGTTAATTAATAGTAGTTTCATTCTAGAATATAAAATGAAAAAGATGGGAAATAAATATATGTATAGTTGTTACGAAACAAACTAAATACGAAATACTAGAGAAAATAACAGTAGTTTAAAAGATTTTGTTATTTATTTTTAAAAAAATATTTCAATCAGTCATGATCAATGAAGAGTCTGACTCCTGTGTGCACTAGTCTAAGTTGTTATAATGTATTAACACCGAGAGATGAAATCAACAAGATGAATTGGAAAAATGGTTGAAATAAACGTATCAGCAGTAATAACAAGAAAAATTAGGTATTGAGAAGTCAAAATGAAAAAGATTGGTACGGAGGAATATTGAAAATCAAAATCGAGAGGAAGGTAAAGAGTGAATGTATTTGTGTTACTGTGGTCGATTCTCGACTGTCATCCAACGTCTATAACCACTGATTATGGTTTAATGCCGACTCCAACTAGTCTGTATCTATCTAGGCGACTCATATCATTAGTTGAAATAAACAATAATACAAAGTATGCTATTGGAATTGACTGTGAATTATTTTATATGGGATTGCTAATTTCTGATTTTTATCATTTCAAAGGGATTCCCAGGCATAAGTTTTCTACATCACCTTAATACTAAAACAAACAACGAGCGACACTAAATTACTGTAATACCTCGGTTTTAACCACTAACAAAGCTTTGCTAGACCGACTTTATTTTAGTGGGGTAACCAGTAATTTGACATTTGTAACACGTTTCCCAGAATTTTAAATTAGTAAACGTTTGCGAACTGAGCGACTGATTCCACTTAACAAAATACAGATTAAAATATTGTTCGTTTACATTTACAGCCACTAGATTTGGGTAGGAAACGGATGTCTAGAAATGATTAGCTGCTGACAAAAGAAAAAAAGCGTTTTGAAACGAAGAGTGACCTTAGATGAGAGCGAGTGACCAAAGTTGAAGAGATCAAACAGCTGTTTTCCGTTTCAAATTTTGCAGTCAGTTTACTTCATAGTTTTCGGTGTTAAATCAACACGTTATGTGTATAGTTAAAAAGCAACGTGGAGATAAAAGGCGAAACAGAATTTCGCATGGTGAAGGCCAGAGAGGTTATGTGCTACTCTGGACGATCTTTGGTGCAATCGTGATATTAGTCTGACTGCAAAAGGTAGTATTTTTCACAAAAGCAAGAACTTTCTAAGCTAAACTAAATATATGACTTTTTCTAGTTGCTGTTGCCTTGACGTGGTGGTCGCGCTTGCCTATCGTGATGAAGCAACCGAGCTATACTGGCTGGAACAACCGTTCCTCAAGGTCCTACCATGTCAGACAGGTCGGTTGAAGAGCGGTAAGACTAAAAGCAACAAACCCAAGGTCCAAAGGCGAAGTCGTACTGCTGACTGAACAGAGGTGTGACAGCAGTAAGGTGTTTCCTTCAGACAACCAGCATGACAGCGATGCTGCCTTCCCACAAGGAGGGGTGGGGTTAGAAAAGGTCGACCCTAAAAATGCACACCTCACCTTATCCCATGGATATCCGTCTCCGGCAGTAAGGTCTCAACAAGTACGGAGCTAACACAAACATTACTCATAAAAGGGTCGTGTGTGACCGACCTCAAGCAGTTGTCCCTTGGGCACTGCGGTCACACTCTCAGATCACTAAAACCACTTCTAACCCAATTTCCCTTTCAGGTACTTGCAGGAGAATCCTTCCACGGTGTGGGCAACCGGGAATTGACAACCGCCCTCATACCTCTAACAGCACCCAAGACCACTGTATTCATAATCAACCTTCCTCTTCGATTCCTAATATTCCTCCTACATCGACTTTCAACCCTAAACTTCCTCCTCAAGTGTCACCGTAGCCAACGATTCTAGTGCTCAAAACTCTGTCCCAGGTCTACTGAAACCTCGCTCCAAACTACACATTGGAGCTTTCAACGTACGCACTCTATGTCAAATCGGTCAGCAGGCTTCCTTGGCTAAAACCCTAGAATCTCTTTCCATTGATGTATGCTGTGTCTCCGTAACACGCATACAGGACTCCAGTGTGGTCATTCACTTGACCTCACCTCGTCAAAACGGAGAGCCAACGAGATACACCCTACGTGTATCTGGTGACCCAATGGCCAGTTCTCGTGGACTGGCAGGTGTAGGCATAGCACTAAGCATGAGGGAGGAACAAGCACTGTTAGAGTGGATCCCCGTCAACAGTCGTCTATGTGCTGTTCGGCTAAACGGCTCCGTAAGAACTCGGAAGGATAGGGACACACATCGTTGCCTTTTCGTCGTTTCTGCCTACGCTCCCATTGACTCCAGCTCAGATGATGTGAAAGATGAATTTTACATAAAGGTGTCCGAACTTCTTCAGAAAGCTAAACGCTCAGACATAGTACTCGTAGGGAGTGACTTTAATGCCCAGATAGGTAGCTTAAACCAAACAGAAAGGCATTTAGGTGGATATTTTAGCATTCCGGCACAGCGAACAGATAATGGTGACCGTCTGCTGCAACTGTGCTCAGACAATCGCTTATTTTTAGCAAACACAAATTTTAAGCATAAGGAGAGACATCGTCTAACATGGCGACCGCCTGAACCAAGCCAATGATGGACTCAAATAGACCATATTGCCATCAGTCATCGTTGGAGAGGGTCGGTACAAGATTGTCGCTCATTCTGGAGTACCTGCTTGGACTCCGACCACGCCCTAATACGGGCACGCATCTGTTTGCGCCTCACTGGACGCAAAAAAGCCTCAGTAAAAAGACCCATTCGAACCGAACTGAGTAGCGAGGAAACCAAAAGTAGGTTCCAGGAACAACTTAGGTCACGATTAGGTAGTTCTGAAAACGAGGCTGACCCAGATGTTGCTTGGAAAGACATACAAGCAGCTGTGGAAATAGCAGTGACATCTATTAGCGACTTAAACCACAGAGTTTCAAAGAACCAGTGGATTTCTTCAAAGTCTATCACACTGATGAATTCTCGCAAACTCATCCCATCAGGTTCTGAACACGATGAAGAGCGTAAACAAATCAGATCCAGGTTAAGCAAAAGTCTAAGAAACGACCGTGAGCAGTAGTGGGCAACGAAAGCAAACTAGATGGAAAAGACGGCGGATATAGGGAACACAAGGCAGCTCTACAGATTAATTATTTATATTTATTTGGACACATGAATATTGGTACAGGAGAGCGCCAAATATATAAGCGCCACACAAAATAATGAGAATCTAAGAAAAAAGCGAGAAACGTAAAAAAAATAAAAAAATAACGAAGAGATTGGTGTAAGGTAGTGTAATAATAATAATAATAGCAATAGTAGGGGAACAGAAGGGTACAATCGGAAGAAATCTTTCAGGTAAGGAAGATACAACCACTTTTTTATGAAGAAAGTAAAAGAAGGTTACAGCAGGATCGCCACTGGCTTCTATTCTGATCCATATCTGATAACGTCTCTAGCCACTGTGTAGCACCATCTCACGGACCCCAACCAGGGAGTCGTGAAGGACCAACACAAGCCAGTCCTTTGCAGCTTTCTTTCATGCCACGACACCATGTCATGCACTGACCACCTCTCCGCTTCTTCCAACCAGTCCCAGAGTCGGCAAATAATGCACGACGTGGAATTCTCTGGGACGACATTCGTAGAACATGTCCAAGCCACCGAAGTCGGTGTTTCAAGATGGTGACACCAATTGAATTATCATCTCTGTGCCCGAACATACGATGCCGAACCTCTGCATTACTAACATGGTGTTGCCACTGAATGTCAGCGATCCTTCGGAGACAGCGATGATCGAACACAGAGAGTCGTCTAACGTCCTCAACTAGAAGAGGCCAGATTTCACAAGCATAGAGCAAAACTGCTCTCACCGACGCGTTGTAAATCCGACCTTTTACGGCCAGACTAACATCACTAAGGCGCCATAGATGGCCCAGATTGGCATAAGCCGCTCTGGCTTTCACTATACGTGCATTGACCTCATCACTCACACCCCCACCAGCACTCATACAGCTACCCAGATACACGAACTTCTCGACTACGTCTATCTGCTCACCATCCAGGGTGAGTACAGGATTGGAATCCTGCCAGTCTTGTAGGAGTACTTTGCACTTCGAAGGTGCAAAGCACATACCATACCTACGGACACTGATTGCCAACTGATTAAGTGCGGATTGCATGCCTTGGGCATTATCGCACAGTAAGACAATATCGTCCGCATACTCAAGGTCGAGAAGTCTTTCTCCAGGCAACAGATTCACACCACCATTACTTACATCCATCAGAGCTGTTTCCAGAATGTCATCGATGGCAAAGTTGAAGAGGAATGGTGAGATTGGGCAACCCTGCCTAACCCCACTGCTCGGATGGAACAATGGAGAAAGGTGGTTGTATGCCCTCACTCTGCCTGAGGTGTTTTTATATAGGGCTTTTAGGATGTTAATAAACTTCTCAGGCACACCCTTCTTCAATAGACAATCCCAGAGAACAGTTCTGTCCAACGAATCGAAGGCAGCCCTGATGTCAAGAAACACTACGATTGTTGGCCTTTGATAAGTATGGCGGTGTTCTAACATTTGGCGGAGGGTGAAGATATGATCAATACATCCTCGACCAGAACGAAACCCAGCCTGCTCCTCGCGAGTCAATCTTTCTCGGGTTTTGAACAACCTACGAAGTATGACGGAAGCCAATAGCTTGGACGCAATTGGAAGTAGACTTATCCCCCGATAGTTGTTACAGGAACGACGTGAACCCTTTTTAAAGATAGGGACAACTATCGACTCATTCCATGACGTTGGCACACTCTCTAGTTCCCAAACCTTTGTAAACAACGTCGTCAATTCCTTAGTCAGGAGGTCACCAACATCTTTAAAAAGAGCCGGAGGTAAGTCAT